CCAAAATGAAAGGATTAAGACAAAATCTAAATAAGTGGATGAACAAGTTAGAGGAGGATGAGGAGGAGGCAGGAAGATGGATCTGTGCTCCTCCTCTTCCTCTCCTCCTCCTCCTCACAGCGACTCCCTGGAGTCTTTGGATTAATGGCTTCATTTCTGCTGCTCGTTCATCAGATTCAGGAAAAACATCCCAAAACACGATCCCTCCCTGCTGCAGCCCCACAACCACAGCTTTACCTGCCAGAAGCCTCGTAAATACTTTCACACAGACAAAACAACTTTAGCTCCGCCTTGGAGGAAGTGGGCGGGGCAGGGGGGCCAGCTAGGGGCCGGAGGCTGAACTACAACACAAAAATGAAACATTGGCTTGAAAGTTTACATTTTAAACCTTAATTTAATATCGATACAGGGCTTTTTTTAACAACCCAAATATATACAGTATATTGAAATTGCTTAGTTCATTTAATTCATTTAATTACAAAACAAACAAAACATTTTGCACAATAAAACTGTACAAATCAAACAAAATTAAAGGCAGCAGCAGAAGAAAAGAAATTCTTATATCTGCTCCTTTAAAAAGATGTATTTCAAACAAAGATAAACCAAATAATAAAACAAAACAAAAAAATCAACTCCTCGAACCGTAACTAATACAAACTAAACAATTTCATATTTCTTTAACAAATTTTCAAATTGTCGTTGTTTCAAACTTGAATCCGCGTTGAAGTAACATTTAGGAAACCAACGCGGTTCTTTATTTAAATAGTCAAAATAAAACATCTAGATAAGTTTTTTTTATCTGATATATTGTTGTTCAGGAAGGAACTAATATTTGTTTTAGTTAGAATTTCATTTTCAGGAAAAAGACAGAGGCAAATATAAGATTTTTGCTTCTTTTTGCTTTTTCTTTCATTTGTCATGGTTTTTGCTTTATATATATATATATTTAAACCATGAAGCAAACTGTTCATTACTTTCATGGACAGAATTTCTAGGCGCAGCCGAGGTGTTGAGGGGATCCGTTTTGGTGGTCTTAGGATCGCATCTCTGCTTTTTGCGGATGATGTGGTCCTGTTGGCTTCATCGGAACGAGATCTGCAGCTCTCGCTGGAGCGCGAAGCGGCCGGGATGAGGCTCAGTGCCTCCAAATCCGAGGCCATGGTCTTGAGCCGGAAAAGGGCAGAGTGCCTTCTCCGGGTC